GGATGCCGCGGCTTAGACACTTGGACACCGTGGCATGGACATCTTGGATGCCGCGGCATGAAGCAGGGTCGTCGATTTTTTAGGTGTTTGTTTCTTACAACACCTGTGTATTTTTGTTGGGTTTTTTTAGCCTCTGATCTGTGTGTGTGCTTAGGCAGCACCGATGTTTATGCTGTTTTTTTATTTGGACAAGTTTCATACTTGTCCTTTTTTTTATGTGGATTAGATCGAGAAAAAACCTCCTTTCACCCCCACTTTATGTGGGGGTTGTTTTTTAAGAGATCTAGGACACTTGATGTATAAATTTCTGGGTGTTAATATATATTTACATTTCATCAAAAAAAACATTCCTGAAGCCCCATTAACCACGTTAGAAGCACTATATTTCTGATCCTTCCATATTACACATCGATTTGTAGAAACCGTTTTCTCAATTCTCAACAAAATATTAATAAACATATTCTTTTATCACTATAAAAACATATTAACAAGCTCTATAATTAACATATAACCTATTAATATTTACCGTTTTAACTCATATTAACGTGACATTATTGGAGCATGTTTCGAACTTTCACTAGTTAGTGCTATTTTTATACATGCTTCTTTTTTTGTACAGAATAATATTGTTGTCAAAACTCAAAACCCCTAATATTCTTGTTAAAATAATGATAAATAAAATGCACACATCTTTATACTCCCATCTTGCGTACTCCTATAATTTGGTAACATTTGTTTAACGTGACATTATTGGAGCATGTTTCGTTTTTCATTGTTGGATGTTCCCATATTATTGTCTCATGTAATATTTGGTAACATTTGTTTAACTCTAATTCATTTATACTTTATTCCCACTATGAACTTATCACCAACCACATAATTATACTTCTCTTAAAAATTACATCACTCCTTTTTGTCCCAATATTAGGGGAGGGAGGTAGTATTTGACAAGAATAGAACTCCTTGTTGGATTGGACAAAAAAGGTTTGACTCACCGCATAAACTTGCAGCAGCTCTACAACATTTTGGGCTATCTCACCTGGAGGAAAAAATATTCAGGCCTTATCTTAAGAATGCCATCGGGTTTCACAACGAGTATAATAGATCAATTTCTACTTCAATTGGGATCTCCTAAAAAAATTTCAATTGTTCTTTAAGTTTCATTTCAATTTCCACATACTCTCAACTTTATTTTACGGAGTAATAAATTAGGGAGGTGTTCGCAATACCCCGCCAGTGAACCACTCTCTCTATGTGGTTTGAACCGGGAATAAAAAAAGATTGGACAAAAATGACCTCTTAAGGGCTTGTTTGCAAACTCTTAAATTAAGTGTTTGTGACTTTTTTTTAAGAAAAAACATTTATTTTACCAAACACTAAGAACTTTTACTTTCTCAGTTTTTGTGTAGAATCTACTTTTTACTTCTTCTATTACACAAAAGCACTTATTTTACCAAACACTATCAACTTTTACTACTAATCATTTTTCCCAAAAAGTACTTTTATTTAAACACAAGCACTTAGTCTAAGAAGCTGTTCTCTTCGTCTTAATCTTATTACTTATTTCTTATTCTTATTTTATTCAGATCAGATCAGAAAAATTCAGATCAGATCAGAAAGATTTAGGTCATATCAGATCAGAAACATTCAGATCAGATCAGAAAGATTTAGATAACATCAGAAAGATTCAGATCAGATTAGAAAAATGCATACATGATTTATCACTTTTATTATTATTATATTAATTATAATTATTACTATTATAATTATTGTATTATAGTTATAGTTAATAATATTAATATATTAATATAATAATATAATGATAATAATATAATAATAATAATAATAATTATTATTATATAATAATAATATAATAACATTAATAATAATAATAATAATATAACAATGGTAATAATATTAATATTATGATATAATAATAATATTAAAATTATGATATAATATATTATTATTATTATATTATTATATTATAATAATAATAATAATATAATTATTATTATAATTTTATTATTTTTATAATATAATTATAATTATAACTATAATTATAATTATAATTATAATTATAGTCATTATTATTAATAATATTATTGTGGTTGTTGTTGTTATTGGGGTAATTATTATTATTATTATTATATGGAGTAATTATATTTCTATTTATAATTACAGATATAATTATAATTATAGTAATAAATATTATAATTATAATTACAATATTAATAATAATAATTATATAAGTAATTTTCAAAAAAATTAATAACTAATTATAATTAGAAATATAATTACATTTATAATTGTATATATATTTATAATTAGTGTAATTGGTTTAATTTTAGGGAAAATGGAAACTAATAATCCAACCTTTTAGCGGTCTTCTTTTAATAGTCCGACCTTTTCGTTATTCATGAATAATCCAACCTTTGCACCTCATCTTCATTCATTGGTCCCCGACCGGTTGATGACATGCTATTCTGAGTTATTTTCTCATCTCAGCAAACTATTATATCATAAATTCCACCTTTCACAAAGATAAAAAAATAACTTGGAATAGCAGGTCATCAACCGGTCAGGGACCAGTGAATGAAGATGGGGTGCAAAGGTTGGATTATTCATGAATAACGAAAAGGTGGGACTATTAAAAGAAGACCGCTAAAAGTTTGGATTATTAGTTTCCATTTTCCCTTAATTTTATTAAAAATTATATTTTTTGTAATTATGATTATAATTATAATTTTATTTATGTTATATTTGTAATTAATTACAATTATAGAAATATTCAAATCAGATCAGATTAGAAAGATTCAGATTGAATCAGATCAGACCAGAAAAATTCAGATCAGATTAGAAACATTCAGATCAGATCAAACCAAATCAGAAGGATTCAGATCAGATCAGAAAGATTCAGATCTCATCAGTAAAATTCAGATTAGATCAAAACTTAGGGGGGTGTATTGTATTAGGAATTAGTGGCAAAATTTTAAAAGTCCATGGATTTTAAAAGTTTAGGTGTATTCAATGTGGACTTTTAAAAGTCCACAAAAGTCTAGGTGTATTCAATCCGGACTTTTAAAAGTCTATAAAAGTCTAGGCGTATTCAAATTTCCGTTCATTCTCATTGACTTCTAAAATCATGGATTCTCGTAGACTTTTAATTCATTTTTAGTGCAAAAATTCTCTGCAATTGTCTCTTCTCCTCACCAAAGATTTCCGTGGACTTTTCTTATATTGGTTCTTCGGGGGGTGTATTCAATGTAGATTGTTATGGACTTTTTTTAATCCATGGACTTTTAAAAAAGTCAATGGACTTTTAAATTCATAGACTTTTTTATGAATGAATTCTATGGACTTTTAAATTCATGGATAAGTTTATTGACTTTCAAAAAGTCCATAGACTTTTAAATGCGGACCGCTACTGCTGGTCGTCAAAATTTTCACCTAGGCCCACTTCATTCCTCCCCTCCCTCCCAGGGATGGACCAGGCCCGACCCGGTTTCGGTTCCGAGTTGGGCCCGGCCGGGCTTGGAATTTTTGGGGTAAGGCCATGGACCGGCCTAGGAGTCTACTGGTACCGGGCGGGGCTGGTTCATTTTTTTGGGTTTTCTTATATATTCCAACCCTCACCCCCAAACCCCTCCAAAACACCCAACCCAACCTACCTACCATAGGCCCAAACCAAAAAAACAAAAAACAAAAACAAATAAGGCCCGGACCGGTCGGGCTGTTCCTCAAATATGCAGTCCTGGAACCGCCCCAATTAACCCCCCCCCCTCGGGTCAGTCCTAGGCCCGGTACCGGTATCGATCCACCGGGCCGGGCTTAATTTATTTTTGTAGAATTTTGTGTTGCTATATGAATTACATTTTTTTCATTTATTTATTTATTTATTTATTTATTTATTTATTTATTTATTTATTTATTTATTTATTTATTTATTTATTTATTTATTTATTTATTTATTTATTTATTTATTTATTTATTTATTTATTTATTTATTTGTTTATTTATTTATTTATTTATTTATTTATTTATTTATTTATTTATTTATTTATTTATTTATTTATTTATTTATTTATTTATTTATTTATTTATTTATTTATTTATTTATTTATTTATTTATTTATTTATTTATTTATTTATTTATTTATTTATTTATTTATTTATTTATTTATTTATTTATTTATTTATTTATTTATTTATTTATTTATTTATTTATTTATTTATTTATTTATTTATTTATTTATTTATTTATTTATTTATTTATTTATTTATTTATTTATTTATTTATTTATTTATTTATTTATTTATTTATTTATTTATTTATTTATTTATTTATTTATTTATTTATTTATTTATTTATTTATTTATTTATTTATTTATTTATTTATTTATTTATTTATTTATTTATTTATTTATTTATTTATTTATTTATTTATTTATTTATTTATTTATTTATTTATTTATTTATTTACTTATATATTTCTTATCGTACTCCGTATTATATAGAGGAAATCACTTACGGTAGGACTAAAACATAGCATTATTCTTAAAGTATGATTAAATGTTTGATTTTTCTTAAATAGGAATAAATATTACATATTCACCCCTAATTTAATTAATTAATTAATTAATTAATATAATTAATTGTCCCTAGCTCCCTTTCACAACCAAAGCCATTTTGTTGGTGACGCGTCAGTCCGATGACGACAGCGGGGAACTCCGGTGATGGAGGCGGACAGATCACATTCATATCGGTAGCGACAATCTAGGTGAAAATTTTGACGACCAGCAGTAGCGGTCCGCATTTAAAAGTCTATGGACTTTTTGAAAGTCAATAAACTTATCCATGAATTTAAAAGTCCATAGAATTCATTCATAAAAAAGTCTATGAATTTAAAAGTCCATTGACTTTTTTAAAAGTCCATGGATTAAAAAAAGTCCATAACAATCTACATTGAATACACCCCCTTAAAAAATTCAAGAACAACTTCTAATCTGATACCAAACATAAAAAAAAGCCTTCCCCACTATTCTCGCGCCCTCGCACTCTTCTCGTACAAGACAGCGCCGCATCTCCGAAGACCGCCGCGACCCGCCGCACCGCCGACGAGAGCCGCAGCCCGCTGCCTCCACCGGCCCGACGCAGCCCGGGTGTGTCATCGTTTTGTCTCGCCGTCGCGCCGTCCTATGGTTGGACTTACTGCCGTATCACCCCACTGAATTACCCGCCCTTCTCGTCGGCCCCACGCAGCCCAGGTGTGCCAACACTGTAATACGACCCGGCCCTCCAAATTCGTCGTAGAAGTAGAGGAAAAAATGGGTCGACCCGAACCTTGTGTGCTATTCGCTCAGACCTTTGCCCACCCTCAACTTGATGAATACGTTGACGAGGTTCTGTCTTGATATCTGTTTCACTTAATTTTTAGTTGAGGTCTTAATTTTGGGTTGCATTTTGACCCTGGCTTACTTAATTATGTATGAATTTCACGTGGTTGCTGTTTTAACGATATTTATATGTACATTTGTTTAGTTTGCAATAGATATATACGAATTGTACTGTAATGGTTGCTGCTCATAAATTCCAAGATCCATTGGGCATGCTTGTTTTGACATTATGTATGTTTTTGGGAAATGATAGGATTCCAAATCTTAACAGGTTGTGTAATTTGAAAATACTAAAAACCACTAAATTTAGTCACAATACCAATGAGATCACCTTTACCATTAATAATACTACGTAAAAGGAATTATGAGTTAAGAAATCAAAGCAACACACAATTGAAGTATTTTAGTTTCATATAATTTATCAGGATTACATTCAGTAGTCTTTATTTTATACTTAGCTATGTGTATTTGGTTCAGGTATTGTTTTCAGAGCCAGTTGTCATATCTTCCTGTGAGTTTCTTGAACAGAGTGCTTCATCTGTGTGTTCAGACGTGCAAATTGTCGGGTATGTTAATTAGTTTGAGTAATACATTTAAAAGTGTCCTTTTAGCGTTACCGTTGCATTTTGACTTCCGATTTTACTAGAGGAGTCCAATTTGCAAGTGACCAACTGAGTGAATTCAAAGCTTAAAGGGGAGTGTTGGAGTCCAACAACAACAACATCCAAGCCTTAGTCCCAAAAGATATTGGGATCGGCTAACATGAATCGATACATGATATCCACCACCAAAAGGAAAAGAAAGAAAAAGATAGATAAGCTATTAAAAAAAGATAATATAAAAAGAGATGAATATACCTAGAAATGATAAAATAAAAAGATAGAAATAATGCTTATATATATAAGGATAAAAGGATAAAGAAACAACAGAAAAAAGATGAGGGGGAAAGATAAAACGAGATCACTCCTTCACACGAATACTCGCCATCCACTTTGCTCTCTCCAAAGCCATACTCTCATCCAACCCAAGAAGCCGCATATCACTTTGGACTCCCCTAACCCACGCCTGTTTGGGCCTTCCTCTCCCTCTCTTCCTTGTTTCTTCTCCACACATCTCAACTTGTCTGACAGGTGCATCACTCGGTCTTCTACGCACATGACCAAACCACTGTCGGCACGACTCCCGCATCTTGTCTTCAATAGGTGCTACTCCCACCCTTTTTCTGATTGTCTCATTCCTCATGTGGTGCTTCCTAATATGCCCACACATCCAATGCAGTATACACATCTCTGCCACACTCATCTTTTGATTGTGACATTGTTTCACCGCCCAACACTCTACGCCATACAGTAATGCAGGCCCAATTGCTGTCCTATAAATTTATCCTTCAGTCTAGTCGGGATACCTCTATCACATAGAAATTATAAAGAGAAGGCTGATTTAATGAAACCTTGTGCTGAACTTGCTTACGTATTAAATTTAATTAATACAAAGTATTTCAGTGTAGTTCGACACGAGCGGTTGGATTCGAAAGTAGCAGAAGAAGCAAATTCTTCTCTTGGCAAATATATTCTAAAAAGCCTACTCTACTATTTGTAAACCTCTAAAAATCAAAATGATCCCAAAGTTCCTAATCCTAGCTCACATAATTCAAATATTCAATAGTGCTGCTATATCTCCCCAACTACCACTATAACCGCAACTATTTTCGTTAGAGCCAATCGCTCCACAATCAGAATAATGTCTTGCTGCTGCTCCACTCTGCTGCTATACGGCTATGCTGCGTTATTGAAATCCCTGCTCAACTAAACCAGTAGAGTTTTATTGCTAGGTAGAATCCACTTCCGTACAACTCTCTCAAGTAGTAATGCACTGTCATCCAATTGCAAATTAATGTTCTTCAAAAGAGATTTGAAAGGAAACATTATAAAGAGCTAAAGTATTGCTTTCAAATATGAAATAAACTGATTCTCAAGAGTACACCATTGCTCACTGGGGATATGTACTTATAATAATATCTATGTTTTAAAAGCTATGGTTTTGCCCAACCAAGCTGGAACTCTTGGACAAAATGGTAACATAGCCACAAACAAAACTTAACAATCGCCAGAAACACTTAATCACGCAGAACATATCATATTGAAGGAAAATACCACTCATGTTCAATATATTATATGGGCATTGTAAGACAAGAAGAATTTCGTGTCCCATAGTTGTCATGGACTCATGGAGCATGGCGATCGCCATGGCTCAAAGGCATTTTTCATGGCGCGTGGCGATGGCGCATATAGTAATGGCGCATACGGCACATATGGCGCTATGGCGACGACCACTTTTTCATGGCGATGGTGCATATGGCGCTCGCCATATCTCGCCATTGACTACCACGCCAACACATATGCCATTCCTAGAACTCCTCTATGTCATTGAGTAGTAGCATGACAAGCATAAAAACTATGTGCAAAAGTAAGCCTAGGTAAAGAACTTCATCTTCTTCACAATAGCACAAGACCCTACACAAGTGAATTTGGAACCAACCATGAACCATCAAAATCATCGCCTGGACAAATCTCTAGCCATGTTACGGTTCCTATAAAATGCCCTGCGTTTTTTTAAATAATTATCTTATTCTCTCACGACCTTAAACTCTTTTAAGATTAATGCTTGGATGTTGATGTATTATCTTATTCAATCACAATCAACATGCTAGTGAATAGAAGGTGTAGTAAGAAATTCAGGAAAAAATGAACTAAAATAATCTCAACTAAATTTCTAATCAAATAGACAAATGGCATTATATAGCTCTCCTTTTGATGCAATTCTGAAATCAAGACTTTCAAGTTTGTGAGAGAAAAAGACCAATTAATACCTAAGCCTATGAAATAATTTAATATATGCACCAATTAATCCAGTAAGGAAACAGTACACGACTTTTTACGTTTTGGATTCCAGCCCCAACGGTACATGACCTTAACCTAATTGTCTGCTGAAGTCCTGCCTGAGCAGCCTGTGTTCCTTTAAGTGTTACCACTACTTTTGAGCTTCAGTTTCTGGGAGAAGAAGTCCAATTCACAAGTGACCAACCTTGTAGGTTTAAGATTGTCTGGTTGCCCACTCGAGGGGGGATTGGACAAAGAGAGAATGGGGGATAAAACCTTGGGCTTAACCAGCTATTAAATTGATTTCAACCTTTTGGTGAGGTCTAGCTTAAATGGCTTACAAGTTACATCCCAATTGAATGGCTCCAAGTCAATCTTAATTTCTATCATTATTACACGCAGAACTTAATACATAGTATAATATTTAGAATACATGAAAATATGATACCCGTAGTAAGTGACTACTGAGATTTGACAATGTACCTTTTCTTATGACTTTATAATCTATTTCACTGACACTTGGTATGATTTCCATTGAAGTATCCTATGTAGTTTTCTATTTTTTGTATCCACCTTTGTTGACCTGTTTTTTATGTTGTCCCTAATTTTCAGAGCAACTTTACCTCCTTCATTTGCCATGGAGGTTTTTGTTCAATGTGAAAAGGAGACAAAATTTAGACGATTATGTCAGCCATTTTTGTATTCACATTCTTCCTCAAATGCTCTTGAAATTGAGGTATGAAACCCATTGTTTTCTTCCTACCTAATTAGTAGCAATCTTGGTTGATGACTCTTCTGTATTAACTCTCATTTGAACTGTGGTGTTTTTTCTTGGTAATTCAATGAGCTATACATCTGTTGTTTTTAGAATGCTAGTTATTGAGATAATTTATGTTGACTATTGTTGAAAGAGAGAATATAAAATGAAGTAATGTTGTATAACAGTAGAAGGGAGATTTTTTTGTATGTTTATTGAAGGGTTTAACTCTATAAATATGCATTATAATGATAGATTATTCCTATAAGATTCTATGCCATAACAATATCCTAGAGTAGATATTCCTAAAATATTCCAAAACATGTTCCTACAGCCATTCTAAAATATTACATACTCTCTCTCAAGTTGCAGCGTAGATATTAATCATGCCCAACTTGGTACATAAATAATCAACTCGAATCCCATCTAGTGCTTTAGTGAATAAATCTCTTAGTTGTTCTCCAATCTTCACATATCTGGTAGAGATCAACCCATTCTATCTTCTCTCAAATAAAATGACAATCAACCTTAATATGCTTTGTTCTCTCATGAAATACTGAATTATTTGCAATGTGTACTATTGGTTGTCGCACCACAATTAAGCAAACATAGGCGTCTTCCGTCTTATTTCACTCAATAAATGACTTACCCATATTATTTCACATGCACATTGTGTCATAGCTCGATATTCCGATTCAGGACTAGAATGAGAAACCACATTTTGCTTTTTGCTCTTCCAAGATTCTAGGAAACCACCACCAACAAAGATGCAATAGCCAGACGTAGATCTTCGATCATCTTTAGATTCTATTCTCGTTGTACTAATAAACAATATCTCGTCCTGGTGCTCCCTTCAAGTAACATAATACTCCCTCCGTCCCCCTATAATTGCCCCACTTTTCCATTTTTGGATGTTCCCCTATTATTGTCCATATCATATTTGATAACATTTGTGTGGCTCTAATTCATTGTTACTTTATTCCCACTTTATCAACTCATTATCAACCACATAATTCTACTTTTCTTAAAAACCACACCACTTCCTTCCGTCCCATTATTAGGGGGACAGAGGGAGTATATGCTATACAATACCCCATGATCAATGGTTGGAGATGGCATTCATCGATTCACTGCGCTCACGGAGACACAGGGTAAGCAATATTTGGACGAGTGAATGCAAGATAATTACACTTTCCAACCAATCTTCTATATCTTTATGGGTCTTCAAACAACATGCCTTCTTAAGTAAGTTGCACATTGGGAACCACAATAGTATTGTTCTACTCTGCTGAGTCTGCTCCCAATTTCCCTATTTCAGCTAGATAATTAAGTACATATTTACGTTGAGATAGAATTACCCAGAAAGTAGTTCAATGATGTTGGTCTTTCGTCTGGAATTGGGTGTGAAGAAAATTCTTATGAGCCAAAATACTTGCATTATCACTCCTTGTAATTAGAATATCATTGACATACACAACAATCAATTTAATACCTGCTTCATTCGTTTATAAACGATAGAGCGATCTGATTGATCCTTTATTATTCCAAGCTATTCAATTGAATGACTGAGGTTCCCAAACCATGCACAAGGGATTTGATTCAGAATTTCAGACCATAAAGAGACTTGCGGGGTTGACAAACTTTCCCATACCACCCCGAGCAACAAATTCAGGAGGTTGCTCGATATTAATTTCCTCTTGAAGGTCACAATGCAAGAAAAACATTGATTGTGAAAATAACCTAAGAAAATGCATTTTTAGGATGAGGATTAACATCTCTAACAAAACTTGGGAAAAAACATCTATACCCCTTTTGATCGTGAGAATAACCTAAGAAATGTATTTTATAGTTTGGGATCTAACTTTTTACTATGAGGATGAACATCTCTAACAGAACAAGTGCAACCAAATATTTTAGGTGGGTTAGGAAAAACGTTTTTGAGGCGCCTTTTTTTTATGAAAAAATTGACAAGAATAATCCCACCTTTCACTGACCTTCTCATAATAATCCCACCTTTACGTAATCCAAGAATAATCCCACCTTTGCACCTCATCTTCTTTCATTGGACCCTGACCTATTGATGACCTACAAAGGTGGGATTATTTATATAAGATTTAAAAAAAAGGTCCAATGAAAGAAGATGGGGTGCAAAGGTGGGATTATTCTGGGATTATGTAAAGTTGGGATTATTATGAGAAGACCATTGAATGGTGGGATTATTCTTATCAATTTTTCCATTTTTTATTCATTTTGAAATAGATTTCGTAATTGTTCCAAGTCTGCAGGCTATTTCATTCTCATCGTCATTTTTTTCATTTTTTGTATAAAGTAAACGATATTATGGAGCAGGCCACCAATTTGTATAGCTGTTTGAGGATGGAGCCATTAAATTTATAGTGTCAATTAATTGTATAAAGCTAATTATCACTACAAATTTATGCGACAAAAGTAGTTGCGATGTATTATACCAGTTGCCCTTTTGGTTGTAAACTTCTAACCTTCATAAGAAGGAATAATGATATGAAAAGTCTAAAACAGTCATTGTTATTGGATATTTCCTCATGCATGCCAAATATCAAAAGACGGCAATGACTTGATAGTGTACTGTTCATATGTCCATTACATAATGCCTGAAAGACTTTTACATAATTGGTATAATTTGCTATTGTCATGAACATTGCACAGGTGTGAACTGCATACTCTTTTTCTTGAAAATATCTGACTGTTATTTATCATATATAGGCTGTAGTCACCAACCATTTGGTCATTAGAGGCAGCTATCGCAGCCTGAGTTTGGTCATATATGGTAATACTGCAGAAGATCTTGGCCAATTCAATATAGAAGTTGACCTGGATAACTCTTTAGCGAATACTGTTAGTTCTGTGGAAGGAAACCTTGAAGACCTTCCTCCTGCTCTGCCTCCTACTAATGTGATTTTTCAGGAAAACTTATCACCTTTAAAGTCATTGTCTCTAAGAGCTCCTCATCTTGATATTTCTATAGAGATCAAGCAGGTCTTACAACTTACGCTTAAAATTTTGGGCTTTCAAAATGCTGGACATATAACTAATAGACTTGTTAGGCCTATTTTATCTGTTGCATCAGTGTACACAACTTCTTGCCTGCATTCTATGACTACCATCCACAAGCAACTTGGACTAGATACGCTGATATGTGATGACAAGGTTCATAATGTCCTTGGTGAAGCCAGAAAGGAACTGCTTGAGATGTATAAAGAACTTAATTATCAAGAAATGAAAGAACTATCTGAATTTTCAACTGAAAGTGTGTCTACAGCACTAGAAGCAGATAGTGGTAGTACCAAACAGCTTGTTGATGCTTTGATCCAGTACTTCAAATCTCATCATGGCATTTGCAGTGAGGGAAATTCTGGGTTTTTAAAGGTGAGTGGATGCTCTTTAGCATATTCTTATCTGAAATGTGAGAAAAGCATTGCACTTTTTTTTCATTATAATTTCTAATGTTATGACGCGAATGTGTTGTTCATAACTGGTTTTTGATTTGTGAATTACAGAAGGAGAGTACAATTATTCGGCTTGCAGTAGCACTTATCTTGTGTACGGCTAGAGAGAGCTGCTTTCACTTTGTTTACTATGGTGGAATGGAGCAACTTGGATATGTTTACGTGCATAATTCAACTGCTCTGAAGCTAATGCTTCTTGGAGTCATTGAGAGAGCTACTCAGCATTCAGTTGGTTGTGAAGGTTTCCTCGGCTGGTGGCCCCGTAAAGATGAGAGTATCCCTTCTGGTTTCAGTGATGGATATAATAACATATTGAAGTTATTAATGAAGTGTCAGCGGCATGATGTTGCCTTGCTGTCGACTTATATACTTCATCGTATGCGCTTCTATGAAGCAGCTTCCCGATATGAGGTTCATGCTTCTAAATTTTTAAAATTATATTTAGTCTGAATTGCTATTGTAAGTCTCACTCTCTTTGGTTATCCCTCTTTACCACTCTCCCTAAAACAACAGCATGCAGTTTTATCTATACTGGAAGGTCACTATTCTGTGGAAAGTTCTGCTCAGGGTAACACAGTGTCCATGCTTGCCAATGCTAAACTCCAACTAAAAAGGATCCTGGTTAGATGTTTCTATTGACATTTATGATTTTATAGTTGAGGATCTTTCATATCAAAGTGATCCGTAATAATGATCTTTTAGCCCTTGAAGTACTCATTGAAGCTCTATTGGTAGAAGTTTCTATTGTCTTTTGAGAACATATTGGAAAAGTTTCCTGAGCTGAGCCACTGATGTGAGCTTGCCTCATGTGAGGGCTGCACAAAACAGCGTGGAAAAGTATTATAAAAGGAATCATCATCATGAGTACTATTAATGGGAATTTATATTATTATTATTATTATCATTATTAAAATTAATGTCCTTCCCTTCACTGCACTTGCAAATGCCGAATTTCCATGTTGGAGGGTGCAGTGAATAAATTTAGTATTAGTGTTAGAGACACCCTAATTATAATAAAAACTAGCATTAGTATTAGTTTCTCTTTCATTTTATTGTTGTTAATTGTTATCCCTTGTCTGGTTTTAGTTAGCTTCTTATTAGCCTTTTAGATTAATAATTAGGGTTTCTATAATATAACTATATAAGGGTCTTCCATATCGATTAATAAACTATCTTTGTGGACTTAGCTCTTGTATCTTTAATTCTTTACAAGGTCGAACACCGACTAATTATTCCTTGGGCATAATTTGTTCTTCCTCCTCTCCCTTCCTTTTCCCTAGAGCTAAAATGAGATCCCAATGACGCTCACAACACCACTCACGTATCATCTTTTGGTTCTTCAACTATTTACCCAAGTGAATTTACATGAACTAATTACATCACATTTTCAATTTGCTAACACAAGGTCTATTGCAGAAATTATTAAATTCCCGTGGCCCCATTGAAGATCCTTCTCCCGTTGCTTGTGCAAGTAAATCTTTGCTTCTTGGTGATGCTGGACAGTTCTCGTATGAATCTACAAGTGGCTTGATTTCGCTGTCCAATTGTTGTCACCCTAGCAAGGATGTTGACATGCATCTGCTTTCTCTTTTGAAGGTACATTAATGGATAATCTTTTAGGCTATGTTTGACAGACAATTCAAAAAAGCTGAAAGAAAATGAAAGGTGATAAATGCTGAGTTGGAAGCGAAAAGCTATCAATATACGCCAAGTGTTTGTTGGATAATTAGCACACAGTTTTTTTTTGTTTGTTTATGAAATACAAATTAATATTTAAAATGTGGTCTCATTAGTTCCTACTTATATTAAGAAACAGGACCTAAAAGCTAATTATACTTTCAATTTGATTTAAGCTTGACCAAATAGAGCACCATTAAACTAGTTTACTCCATTTGTCTTGGTCTATTGGTTTGCGGTTTTGCATGAGACTATCCATATTTTGATTCGCTCAAAGGTGGAAACTGGAAAGATAGGGATAATGTGGGTTAATGTTATGGGACCGTAAGGATACATAATACATCTATGGCCAGGCTTGCATTTTCAAACTTCAAGGTCTTGAGGGAAAAAAGCTCAAATATGACAGTCAGTTGCACTTGTTTGCTAACTGGAATGTCAGGATGCGTTTCAGCAGTTTTACATGGTAAAACTGTTTAATAATTAATTAAAAGAAATAGATAAATGGAGAAAAATGAGGATGAGATGAGTGGGCTTCTAATGTTCTTCTAGGTATCACCAGCGTTCATGCACCAGCGTTCTTTGTCTATAGTCATTTTTGAACACCTTTTCATCTTATGGGCTATCCTCCTACTCAATTTCACGTTGATTCTTACACTCTTATTTGTAGTGAAATAGCGAATGTTGAATTGCATCGTTCTATAGAATTAAATTCTGGCATCAGTGCTTTTCTGTATTAGGAGTGTTGTACTTTTTTATATCTGGTTGTGCTGTTTTTTATCAGCTTCATGTTAGTATTCTGTCGCCATTCTCATTCCTTGATTATGTCGTGTTCCATTTTTGTTTAAGCAGGAGAAAGGTTTCCTTCCTTTGTCTGCTGCATTATTATCATATTCTGCTCTACGATGTGTTAAAGGTGGCATGCTGGATTATTATGTGGATATTGTGTCGTATTTAGAGGCCATAGTTCTCACACTTCTCTCTTGTCGTTCAGGTTTTTCTCTCTCTCTCCCTCTTGCCCCAAAACTGAGCCACAGTATTCTGTTTAAAAATGTAATGTCTCCCTCTGTATACAGGGCTAGTTTTCCTTTCTTGTAATCCCGAGCAGTCTACCACATTTATTCACGCCTTGAGGGGTACTGATAATTGGAAGAAGGAAGAGCCTGTTTCTCTTCGCTATGCCTCTGCCTTGATTTCCAAGGGTTTCTTTTTTCACCCACACAAAATTGCAATGATAATGGAGATGCACTTGAAGGCGGTCAGCCATATTCTTGTTGATTCTTTTATTTCATTTATTTTCATTTTTTCTTTTTTCTTTCATACTTTGGCTGTAACATTCATCAGAGAAGAAATCATATTTCCTTTGCACTGACCCTTCTACAACATTGTTTATATTGTTATTTTGTAGTGGTATTTCCCTTTTAACAATTTAACTAGCTGCATCTTCACTTGCAAAGCTATGCAGGTTAATGCTGTTGACCTTTTAGTTACATCGAATCTACACTCCGAGGATTTCTTATGGATCCTATGGAAGCTTTGTGGCCATTCCCGGTAAGAATAGTCGAGTTTGTGAGTTGTATTGCGTTGTATCAAATTAAAATAGAACTTGTACCAAATTGATAGAAGCAGAAAACCCTAGCAGACGATATGAACGTCTGCCCCAGCCTTAGGCTCAAACTAAATCTTTATTCTCGATAATGAATAATAGTTCACAAGACCTCCTTAAATACTCCTTAACCTAATAATAAAGCATGGCCATCTAGGCCCAGTAACCTAATAATAAAATATGGCCATCTAGGCCCAGCAGTTTATTAGAAATAACAATTGAATGAAATAAAGTAATAAAACCCAGCAGTCAACCCAGCCCAATTAGGTCCACTGACAGCAACAGTAAACTAATAATGGGTGAGGCCCGTCCTCCTGAAGCTTTGGCCCATTTGCCGCCTAGCCTCGGCCCATCTGTCTCCCACTCCTTAACAGTGAAACTTTAGGAAAATCATCTATCTTGCATTGTATGTTTGTAATGTTCATATTCACAGTATGGCAGTACATCACTCATGTTTTCTACTACCACATACTCCCTCCGTCTCCGAAAGAAGTTCCCACTTTCCTTATTTGGATGTCCCTAATTTAAGTTCCTATTTCCTTAAATGGAAAGTCATCTACATCAAAACAGTGTCAAACAGTGCAAAACAGTGCCAAACAGTGCTAAACAGTGTCAAAACAGTAAAATTTACCCCCTGGTAAGTTTACTTCAATAAAAGTGTGTGAAAGTCAAATGGGGAACTTCTTTCGGGGACGGAGGGAGTATATACAATGCTTCCTTGTTAGTGTAGATTCTAAACAACTAGGGAAGTAAAATAACTGAGCGAACTTTGTATACTTGGATTGCAAGAGTGCAATTAAGCAATTATGAACACTCTTAGCTATGCAAACAGATACCGTATAAAGATAGTTTTGATTGCTTGAAAACTTATTTTTAATATCCCTTACAGCTCTGATGGAGGGATTGAAGCTTTGCTGACTGTGGTGCATTTTCCCGAGGTAATTCAACCCCTTTTCCCTTTTGAAATTTGTTAGGAAGGGAAATGAGGCTGCACTTTTCATTGTGCCATTGGGGATTTTTTTTTATCATTTATCATTTGGGGCCTTCTCTGCATAAGAGATAAAGATAATTTCGAACTCCCCTCCCTGTCATGATAAAAAAAAAACTCCCCTCCCTGTCATATATAGTCAGCCCCCCGTGCCTCCCTGTACCTCAGTTCCTATGGACAATAAAAAGATCCTTCTTATTGATTATGTTAAACTTCTATAGGCTGTTGCAGCATTAATAGCAACATTGCACTCTGCAAAGGATTTGGATCCAAGCTCCTTAAATGCTGGTACTGAGATCTATATTCTTTTTGCTATTAGATGTAATTAATATGCTTTCAGTACACATTCCCTACCAGTGCTTGAAATCAGTTGTGGAGTTCTCTTTTAATTTTTCTATGATAACCATGCTGCCAAAATTTTCAACTTGCAGCTGCCTCACCGTTAAATCATGCAATCTTTCACTCTGCTGCTGAAATTTTCGAAATTATTGTTTCTGATTCAACTCCGTCCTCTCTGTCATCTTGGATTGAGCATGTGAAGGAGCTGCATAGACTCTTACTTTCTACCTCTGCTGGCTCTAACAAAAAAGATGCTCCAGCCCGACTGCTGGACTGGATTGATGCTGGCGTAGTTTATCACAGAAGTGGCACTATTGGTCTTCTACGGTACACTGCTGTGTTGGCTTCTGGAGGAGATGCTCATATGACCTCAACAAGTGTTTTAGCATCTGATTTGATGGACATTGATAATTTCATTGGTGATTCTTCTAATACTTTTGAGAGTAATGTGATTGACAGTATTCTTGGGAAACACATCACTGAAAAAGATTTTCCTGGGGTTATTCTTCGTGACTCTTCCGTTGTTCAGTTGACAACTGCATTCCGAATTTTGGCATTCCTTTCAGATAATCCGGTATAGGTTTTTATATATGTTTTGCTCACACACACATATCTGATACTTTGATTAAACTTATACTAGTCTTGAATTCTTTGTTAAAGACTGTTGCTGCTGCACTTTATGATGAGGGTGCTGTGATGGTTATACATGCAGTTTTGATAAACTGTAGACTCTTGCTCGAGAGATCATCTAATGTCTATGGTAGGTATCTTTGTTTACTATGTGCAACTTACAAATTGTGCTAGCTGTATGTTGAAAATGGAATATATGGGTAATCTTTGCTTTCATGTAGTTCCATTCCCATAAGCCGACTTCTCAATGATAACAAAATTGAGTAATCATGTCTTTCTTTTCTTAGTCCAAGTAATTTTTCTGAATTCTACTCATCTATTTGGGCTTCTAAAACCACATCGATTTTAAAATCTCTTATAGGCCTTCGTGGACCTGAAATACAATTACATATTTTGACAATTTGATGCATATATTTCTCTTATGAAACACTTTTGCTTATGCGTTTCTATGATGAGCAGATTACCTAGTTGATGAGGGTACAGAATGCAATTCGACTTCGGACATATTGCTTGAGCGTAATCGTGAACAGAGCCTATTAGATCTTCTCATTCCTTCTATGGTGCTGCTGATCAATCTTTTACAGAAGTTACAGGTTTGCAGTGACCTTTCCGATGCAGAAATGATTTCTTTTGCTTGTACTTAGTCTGCCTCAGTATTTACAGTTGTATTTAAAGGATTTAGGCCTTGATTATCTATTACTCCGAAATATTATCCGGATGCTGCACTCATATGAACATGTAACAAAGTGTCCTTCAAAGAATGAAAGAAGATAATTACACAATATGTTTCACTTTATTCTTTGTTCAGCGGCTTCAGCCTTCTAGCAGTTTTCTAAGCTGGTCCTCTTCTTATTTTTGCACTTATAGGAAGCAAAAGAGCAGCACAGAAATACAAAACTGATAAGTTCTCTTGTACAGTTGCATAGAGAAGTAAGGTAATGAAGGCATCTTAGGACTTCCTCACACAATCAGCAATCTTCCATTTCCTCTTTCTTTTAGATACTTCTGTTTATGCATATTCAGGGTAAGAAAATATTGGTTCATTGAATTTATTATCTGCAGTCCAAAGCTAGCTGCATGCGGATCAGATCTATCTTACTCATGCCCTAAAATGGCCCTTAGTCTTGGAACTGTTTGTCATCTTCTTGTGTCAGCATTGGCCTGCTGGTCCATTTATGGATGGACTCCTGGGCTTTTTCATTACCTCCTTGACAATCTTAATGCAACTTCAGTTGTAGCACTTGGTCCAAAGGAAACCTGTAGCCTTCTGTTCCTTCTGGTATGTGAATTTCATGCGTCGTGTGTTCTTCTAGAATCAGTACAACTTGGAGTGATCTAAATTTAGCAGAGTGTGTATGTAATCTTACAGTTTGTTCTGCTATCTTGTTTCAAGAATGATCTGTTTCCAGATGAATGTTCCTGGCTTTGGAAAGATGGGATGCCTATGTTGGCTACTCATAGAACAGTGGCTGTAAGGACACTGTTAGGGCCTAAGAAGGAAGAGAAAGTTAATTGGTTTTTACAGCCTGGACACAGTGAGAAACTGCTTGCCCAATTGACACCACAACTTGGCAAAGTCTCTCAGATTATTCTGCATTGCAGTGTCAGTGTAAGTGATTCTTGGTCATTATGGTTAATTTAGCCCTTTTTTTTTGTAATAGGTTGTTTGATGATATATTTCCCTTTGTCTTTCACACGCGCACACTATCTCTAGCTAATATTGCATGACAAATCGATTTGTAATTGTATGGAGTGCTTTTTAAACAATTAGGGCAGTTTTACTTGGATTATTTTCAGTCCTAGATCAGACCAGACTTAAACAGACCAGACCACACTTCCATAGTTATAAAATACACAGAGACCAAACATTTACAAGACCATACCAACAAATTTCAGTCCAAGTAAAAACATCCTTAGGCACATGTTGGTTGCTTTAAAGAAGACTATCAAAGGCATGTTTAAAAGTGAATAAATTAATACGTAGTATGAAACAGGGGAGTTGGACTTTGCACCCCATTTTCAAAAAAATAAAAAGGGAAAAGGTGCAAATAGGCCCATGTACTAACAAAAAAAAGTCAAATAAGCCCTTATTTAGGAGGCTCTGTCCGGCCGTCGCCATTTGGGGTGGTTCCCGGTGGAATTTTTTGATGAATTTTTTTGAGCATCTTATTCATCAAGTCTAGTTTACTCATACCAAATTTCAGCTAAAACTTCAATCGGGAAGGCATTCAGATGAATAAGATGCTCAAAAAATTCCACCGGGAGCCACCCCAAATGGCGACGGCCGAGCAGAGCTCCTAAATAAGTGCTTATTTGACCTTTTTTGGTTAGTACATGGGCCTATTTGCACCTTTTCTCAAATAAAAATAATGTGTGCAGCCCATTCGTTTATAAAGGTTAAAATTTGTACCCCATTCCTTAATAGGTTTTTGAACTGATGGGGGCACTCATTATTGCCTTTTAGACGGGTGAAAAGCCCAATTTAGCCCATAAAACAGGGTGCAAAGTCAAATCGCACCAATAAAGCATGTGGTTGATCACATTCATGTTTTGTTTCAAGTCTCAGTATATAGGATGCTAAGCATTGGGAAGTGCATGGATTCTTTGGATCTTTACATTCATCTCATAATGCCTTCAATTAGTCTGATGGTTTAATCATGGATTCAGACATTGATCGTAGTTCAAGACTTGTTGCGAGTCTTCATCACTCGCATCACAAACTTAAGTGCTGATTATGGTGCAGTGCTAGTACGACCTATAATAGTGAAGGTTCATGGTCATCTTTCTGACATTTCATCACTGTCAGAAGTAGATGCCTACAAGGTAACATATACGTTTTTTTTCCTGATTTCATACTGCGATTTGCTTAACTTTACCCTTGTTGAAGAGTTTTTTCATTGTTTTTGTGAAAGACATTAGAATATACTTTAGAATATACTTTAGAATATTCTTCTATCCTTAGAATATACTTTAGAATATTTTAGGAATATACTCTAGGATATTATTATTGTATAGAATCTTATAGGAATATTCTATCTTTGTAATGTATATTTATAGGGACTTAACCCTCCAATGAAATACACAGAAAATCTTTCCTCCTCTCTTCAATATTATATTTTGTAGTTTATATTTCAACATGGTATCAGAGACTTCCATTTCAGTTTAGTTTTTCAGATTTCAGTTCTTTATTCAGGCTGACTTCAGTTCAGTATTCAGGCTGGGTTCTTTCTCCAAGAACTTGAGTTAACTTCAGAACCTTACACACCATTTTCAGAACCTTACACACCATTCTGCCTACAGAACCTCTACACACCATTAAACAGAACCTCTGTCCAGACCAACACCGTCCTATTTCTCACCTCCGTCCTAACCAATTGCACTTGCCGCCGCCGACCACGTCTTTGGAGTCCGCACCGGCAAAGCTTCGCGCGTCAGTCACACGCGCCGCCGAAGACTTTCTCGGCTGCCGCACGCGCCGGCGAGTGAAGCTTCATAGCTGACCGGATTTCTAATCGGAAATCGCCATCTCTGCCAGACAAATCCATTTTTCCGATCTGCGAGCTTTTGGATCCACGGTCTTCTTGAGGTTGGCGACGCAGACTGTTGAGAAAGGTTGGGATTTGAGACTAGGTGAACTAGCTCGAATTAGAAAGGGGCTGCGTTATATTTTTGGAGTCGCCACTATCATTAGCTGGTAAGTCAGAAACCCAGACCTCGCCAACCATCTATTGAGCTGCGGCTGGTAAGTCTTAATTAGCTGTATTTATTTATTTATTCTCAAAAAAAAAAAAAGTAAAAAAAAAAAAATCAAAAAAAAAAAAATCAAAAAAAAAAAAATTCAAAAAAAAAGAAAAAGAAAAAAGAATGTCTTTTACGGGTCCATTTGGCAGAGGAGTAATATGCCATTACTGCAAGAAGCCCGGGCACTTGCTCAAAGAATGTAGAAAGTTGCTGTTCAAAAATCAAGGAAATCAGCTTGCTCATGTTGCTTCCGCTACGAGTTCATTTGATGGATCAATTGCTATTTCTTCAGACGAGTATGCTAAATTTATTTGCTACCAAGAATCTCTAAAGCATTCATCTACCCCTATCTCGGTAGTCGCAAATTCAGGTATTTCAAACACATGTCTTGTTTCATCATCCTCAAAATGGGTCATTGACTCAGGTGCCACAGATCATATGACTGGTAATCCTAGTCTATTCTCATCATTTCACTCACATTTACCTGCTTCCAGTGTCACTTTAGCAGACGGGTCTACCTCACCCGTTCTTGGATCTGGTACTGTTGTACCAACTTCTACATTACCATTATCGTCTGTTTTGAGTCTTCCTAATTTTGCATTTAATCTGCTTTCCATCAGTAAAATCACACGTACTCTTAATTGTTCTGTAACATTTTTTCTGGGATATTGTGTGTTTCAGGATCTGTTAACGAAGCATACTATTGGTCAAGGACATGAGTCGGGTGGTCTTTATATTTTGGATACATCAATTACAAAAGGTATCTCTTGCCTTGGGGTTGGAAATCTATTAGAAGCTCATTACCGATTAGGACATCCATCTCTCTCACTAATGAAGCAATTATATCCTCAGTTTAATAAGGTGTCTTCTATACAATGTGAGTCGTGTGAGTTTGCTAAACATCATCGCACTAGTTTAAGTCCCCGACTTAATAAACGAGCAAATGCTCCGTTTGATCTTGTACATACTGATGTTTGGGGGGCATGTCCAGTTGTGTCCAAACCTGGTTTCAAATATTTTGTCACTTTTGTTGACGATTATTCTCGTATGACATGGGTGTATTTTATGAAGCGCCGATCCGAGTTATTTACTCATTTCTCTGCATTTTGTGCTGAAATTAAAACTCAATTTAATGTTCCTGTTCGTGTGTTAAGGGGAGACAATGCCCAAGAATATTTATCTGCTCCATTTAAATCTTTTATGCTTCAACATGGCATTATTCATCAAACTTCATGCGTAGACACACCTCCTCAAAATGGAGTTGCTGAAAGAAAGAATCGACATCTGTTAGAAACTGCAAGGGCTCTTCTATTCCAAATGAATGTGCCTAAACAGTTTTGGGCTGACGCTGTGTCTACTTCATGTTTTTTGATCAATCGTATGCCATCTTCTGTTTTGGATGGTAAAACTCCTTATCAATGTCTTTTTCCAAATAAAGAACTTTTTCCTATTCCACCTAAAATATTTGGTTGCACTTGTTTTGTTAGAGATGTTAACCCTCATCGGACGAAATTGGACCCCAAGTCATTGAAATGTATTTTCTTGGGTTATTCTCGAGTTCAAAAGGGGTATAGATGTTTTTGTCCAAGTACAGGTCGATATCTTATTTCTATTGATGTCTCATTTCATGAAAATACACCATTTTCATCATCCAAGACAGATATTCATGAGGACAACGATGAAATACTCATTTACACAGTTACTATACCTGAGACCACACCTTCAGTAACTATGTCGAATGTCACTGTTCCTGACCCTAGACCTCCTGTACACTTGGTTTACACCCGTCGACACAAAGCACAAGATCACTCCCCACATGTGACACCTGTGATTACATATCCTGATACTGGTCCGACTTTGATCTCATGTCCTGAACCAGTACCTGCATCTTCAGATCTTGTCTCTACATCTGATCTTGACCTCCCGATAGCACTACGTAAAGGTACACGGTCTTGTACTCATCCTATTTCCTCATTTGTGTCATACAGTCAGTTATCTCCTGCCTCATGTTCTTTTGTTGCTTCCATTGATTCTATTTCTGTTCCCAAATCTGTTAAAGAAGCTTTGTCTCATCCTGAATGGCGACATGCCATGGTAGAGGAAATGAATGCTTTGGATCTTAATGGTACTTGGGATTTGGTATACTTGCCTTCAGGGAAGAAGTCTATTGGATGTAAGTGGGTCTTTGCTGTTAAGGTTAATCCAGATGGATCTGTTGCTCGATTGAAAGCTCGATTGGTTGCAAAGGGTTATGCTCAAACCTATGGTGTTGATTATTCTGACACTTTTTCTCCTGTTGCTAAATTAACATCTGTCAGGTTACTTATCTCACTCGCTGCAACTCATGATTGGCACTTACACCAGTTGGACATTAAAAATGCATTCTTACATGGTGACCTTCAGGAGGAAGTTTATATGGAGCAACCTCCGGGATTTGTTGCTCAGGGGGAGTATGGGAAAGTTTGTCGACTTCGCAAATCTCTTTATGGTCTGAAACAGAGTCCTCGTGCATGGTTTGGGAAATTCAGTCAATCCATTGAACGGTTTGGAATGATAAAAGGTCAATCAGATCACTCTGTCTTTTACAGAAAAACGAAAGCAGGTATCACATTGCTTGTGGTGTATGTCGATGATATTGTGATTACAGGAAGTTAGGCCTGGGATCGGTTCGGTTCTTGTTAAAATTCGATGGAACCGTATAAAAATTGTAGGGTTTAAATTCGGTTCGGTTCTAGTTAAAAAAATGGTTGTTAAATTCGGTTCGGTTCTACTTAAATTCGGTTCGGTTCTTACCTTTTTTCGGTTCCTTATAAAATTTTACTATCCTCCTGAAATGAACACATTTTACCTTCAGTTAAATAAAAAATTCAAACTTTAAATCATTAAATTATGACCATTATATTATACGTGCATGATATCTCAATGTTCAAATAAATAAATAAATAAATATATATATATATATATATATATATATATATATATCCAAGTGCAACATTAAATTTCAACATAACAAAAATCTCGGTTTAAAATAGGCATCAACAGTCGAGCAAAAAGGTTTGATATCTCCAAAGTACACATTTAATAGCTGGTAGTTCAACCTCAAAATAATATTCTTTTACTAGTAATGCATAATAGGTAAAATGTACGTAGTAATAAACAACGTAATCAATAGAATATTAATTCCTTTTTAGATGAACTCCAATACATTTACATTTACAAACAAAAAATAAATATGAAAGTGGACTAAAGTATTCAAATAATTACTTGGATTGGTCTGGTCCACAATATATAAGGTATATTATGCAAGAAAATATTCTTGACAAATAATTACTCGGATTGGCCCGGAACGCCGTCTGGCCATCTCCATTTGAGGTTCTTCCGTGTAGAATTTTTTGATAAAATTTTGTGAGTATGTTCTACATGAAATATAGATGATATATACCAAATTTCAGCTTAACATTCAATCGGGAAGTGAATTAAATAAAATATTGAAAAACATTGCGTTTTTATATATGTTGGCGTACTGTTTTTCAATAATTTATTTAACTGACTTCCCGATTACATTTTAAGCTCAAATTTGGTGGACATAATCTTTATTTCATGAAAAACATGCTCACCAAATTTCATCAAAAAATTCCACTCAGAAGCACCTCAAATGAAGATTACTCATACAATGTATAAGAAGTTCGGTTCCTGGCTAGGAACCGGAACCGAACTGGAACCGAACCGGAACCGAACCGATGAAATACTATAGGAACCGAACCGAAAAAAGCTCAAGTCCAAAACTATAGGAACCGAACCGAACCGGAAATTTCGGTTCGGTTCGGTTCGGTTTTCCGGTTTTACGGTTCCAAGTCCCACCCCTACAGGAAGTGATACCGCAGGTATTTTGGCCCTTAAGAATTTTCTTCATAGCCAATTCCAAACAAAAGACCTAGGCTCATTGAAATACTTTCTGGGTATTGAGGTAACACGGAGTAAGAAAGGCATATTTCTATCTCAGCGTAAATATGTACTTGATTTACTAACTGAAACGGGGAAATTGGGAGCAAAGCCAAACACAACTCCCATGGTTCCCAATGTGCAACTCACTTCAGAAGGCATACCATTCGAAGACCCAGAAAGGTACAGAAGATTGGTTGGAAAGCTTAACTATCTCGCAGTCACTCGTCCAGACATTGCTTACTCTGTGAGCGTAGTGAGTCAATATATGTCATCTCCGACAGTTGATCATTGGAATGCAGTAGAGCATATATTATGTTACTTGAAGGGGACACCAGGACGAGGTATTGTTTACCAAAATCATGATCACATGAGAATAGAATGCTTTGCAGATGCTGATTGGGCTGGATCTAAAGATGATAGGAGATCCACATCTGGCTATTGCGTCTTTGTTGGTGGTAATCTCGTCTCTTGGAAAAGTAAGAAGCAAAATGTGGTTTCTCGTTCGAGTGCTGAATCAGAATATCGGGCTATGGCACAATCGGCATGTGAGATAATCTGGATAAACCATTTGCTGAGTGAAATCGGATTGAAGACACCAATGCCTGCTAAACTCTGGTGTGATAACCAAGCTGCTATACACATTGCCAACAACCCAGTGTTTCATGAGAGAACAAAACATATTGAGGTCGATTGTCACTTTGTTCGAGAAAAGATACAACAAGGATTGATCTCTACAGGATATGTGAAGACTGGAGAGCAACTTGGAGATTTGTTCACTAAAGCATTAAATGGAATTCGTGTTGGTTATTTATGTAACAAGTTGGGCATGATAAATATCTATGCTCCAACTTGAGGGGGAGTGTGAAAGACATTAGAATATACTTTAGAATATACTTTAGAATATTCTTCTATCCTTAGAATATACTTTAGAATATTTTAGGAATATACTCTAGGATATTATTATTGTATAGAATCTTATAGGAATATTCTATCTTTGTAATGTATATTTATAGGGACTTAACCCTCCAATGAAATACACAGAAAATCTTTCCTCCTCTCTTCAATATTATATTTTGTAGTTTATATTTCAACAGTTTTATACATTTTATAAATGATACGGATCTTGACCTGATAAATCATAGTAGAATTAGGTATGAATACGGAAAATAAATGAGCAATCAATCAAGAATCCAATTATAGTAGAATTGTTTGTATTTACTTGTGCTTTCGAAACATGATTTTTTAAAGAATATTTCAAAAGCGATTAATTGTAAAAATTGGTAGTGTTTGAAAATAAAAGTGATTTTTAAAAAGTAATAGTTGGAGTGCTTAGTAAAGAAGTAGCTTTTGGTGTATTCATAGGGCCTGTTATAGAAAAAGTGAAAAACAACTTTAAGCACCCTCCCTCCTGCTTGCTGCTTGTAGCTCTGGAGTGGTCAAAGTTAAGCAGAACAACTTAAAAACACTACTTTGAACTTCTTTTAAAGCAAAAAAAGATTAGTGTGTCACTATTTTTAACCTTTTTAAAGCAACAAGAAAATAAAGTGCTTCTGAGAAGCTCTCTCAAACACTGTTTTAGAATCATTGATTTTTTACAATAATATTTTTTTACCGTATTTAGATATTTTGAAAGATTATAATCAAGGCTCCTTTAGCGAGTGGGATATTGAGAGATTAGCATGATTGAGGACTCTTTTAGAGTTGGGCAGCTAAGTAGCACAGAAACGCGAAATGGGAAACTTGAAACGGGTAATGGGAAACACGAGAATCTTTGACAAAGCTCATAGCACTGCTCAATGAAAGGAGTCCGGGACTGAAAACATTCCAAGTAAAAACATCCTTAATAAAGAAACCAACAAATCCCAATATGTTGATTGTTGAGACATCAACGTTCCATTTGTAGAAGAAAGCCTAATCAGCACAGAGATGCTTGATCCAGACTATCATGAATTGGATAAAGATAATGCCACCAATCTTGCAAAGGAAAGTGGGCAGTAAACAAGGAAAAATATATTCAAAAGCAATGGTGAAGCACATAGGGAAGGGTATGCCGAATAAAGTTTGGAAGAAAAAGAATAAGAGCACACCAAGAAAATGAAGAAAAAGCCATGTGGGTGATCATAGCAAAGGAAAAGAGTGAAAAAGAAGAAATTTTTAAAACAGAGAAAGGTTAACATAAAAATAAATTATTTTATGCATATCTTTTCCCAAAATACACTCCAATGGTAGACCAGTACCCTTCAGAAAAATTCTTGCAGGCAGGATCACCCAAAATTGCTTGAGAATATGATGGAATAAACCAAAATGGCTCACTAAACTATTTGCACTTCTTTGTTATGAAACAGCAGACGGTCCATGCAATTTTGGACGCAATTTTCACTATGGGTCATCCGGAAACAGTCTCTCTGTGCTTTATTACAGAGGTAAGACTGCGTACATCCGACCCCCCTTACCCCACCGTAGGTGGGAGCCTTTGCGGCACTGGGGTAAATGAAAATGAAAAATGAAATGAGGATCACCCAAAATTGATGACCCCAAATTCTTTTGGGAGTTGGGACTAAGGCTTGAATGTTGTTATGGGGTCGACCAGAATCCATCCTTTGTTTAATCTTTTATGGGAAAAATAGAACAAGAAAGAGAGGCAAATCTCCAGCCTTGAGGACAAGTCTGTTTTCTAGCGGGTGGCAATGATACATATCTTGACCTGCAAAATCAGAGGAGAATCGGGTATCAATAAGGGAAATAAATAAGCAATAATCAAGAATTCAATCAGCACAAGTTTAGGGATTGCTATTAGAACCATTGATATATTACAAATGTATTCTTATGTTATTAAATATTGTGAAAGATGATGAATAATGCTTCATTTAGCAGACTATTGAGAGATTAGTATAGTTGAGGACTCTTTTAGATTTGGGCAGTACTAGGCTGCCTTTCTGAGGAATACCTTCGGGTATTTCACGTTCTTTTTCTTTCTATCTTATACACATTTGTTTCTTTATAGTTTTTTCCGTTTTGTAAAACATTTTCTTCTTGAATATTTGCCTTCTTGCCTCTTTACTCTTTGTCATATTCTTTTTCCTCTTTCCTTGCATTGTTTGTTTATTCCAGGTGCACCACATGCTGCTTTTCATCTCTCTTCTGTTAGAGCATCCACATGCTAAGGTGCACATTGTGTCTAATTTCGTATTGTCCTTGTGTTACCTCATCTATTAAAAATGATAAATTGTTTTAATTTCTTGCTTTCTTCATTCATCAGAACATTATTTTGAAGGCTGGTGCTGCTGATATGCTAAGTAAAGTGCTTCAGAAGTGTTTAGATGCTGCCAACATAGACCACCAAGTGTTCCTACAGAACAGAAATGTTACCGGCAATTTGGCGTCAATATTGAGTTGGTGCACACCAGCTTTTAAGTCAATCTCACTAATATCTGATCCTGGAAAAAATAGACACAAAAATTCACTGCCTGAGAGGTTAGCAGCTGTTCTATGGATTATCAACAATGAATTTTCTCAGCCTACGATTTGATTTTGTAAATTGTTGGTTTTCAGACACATCCCTGAAGCTTTCACAGATGAGGAATGTACCTTGATCCTTGCACAACTTTTAACATTCTTCAAAGTACGTTTTTTCATATAATTAAATTTTACTAGTGCGTATTGATCCAATGTATGACATATTGCCATATTGGAACATGGGAGTATGTGCTCTTTTGCATTTTACCTAAACAGGAAATTGTTCTTCTGTGTTGGCACTGTGTCCAGATCCTGCCAGTGGAAACAGAATTACTCACCTGCCTTTCAGCCTTTAAGGAAATGGGTTGTTCAACGCAGGGAAAAAGTTCTTTGCATTCTATTTTTCTGCATATTCAGTCCACTGATGAAGATTATGAAACTGAGAGATGGTCCGAAGATGTTCATTACATCATGAAGAAATTTGACTGGAAAGATTATCCTCCTTTGGCATATTGCTGGCGTTTTTTGTTAAATTCAATTGCTTCACAGAATATTCCTCTGGTATATGCTGTTGAAGCTATTGGGACGTTATCTTTGGCTTCTCTGCACTTTTTCATGGATGCAGACAGGTATGTCTTTATCTTTGCATTTTCTTTTATTTTCTTTGTGAGCTCTTTCTTCTTTTGTTATAGTTTACTGATTTTACTCCTTAAATTACGGCATGGTTAGTTTCGATACTTTGCTTGCATTGACCTGGTTTAAGTATTGCTTCTTCAGTGCGATCTTGGAGAGGGGTATTGCAATCAGGTATCTTTTTGGGTTTAAGGATGAAGACAGTGGCCCACCTGATGTTTTTGAAGAGAGCATGAGATCTTTAGATAACTTTACAAGTTTATTCGGATCAATCGGCAATGATTATATGGAATCGGTGGGTTGGGACATGGCTTATCTGGATCATGTATGCTTCACTTCTCTCCTTGCATCTTTACTTCATTTTTCTTTATGTCTTTCTTTGTTTTAACTTTTAATGTGTCTGTTTGACTAATACTCCACCCTCACTTTTGTTCTCCAACTTTCTTATTTTTCACTTTTGGTGCATGTTTCTCACTTTCTTGCCCCTTATCCTGCCATCAATCACTAAATGAAAATGGTTACGAACATTCAGCATCTTATTGTGGTACACCCATGAACAATCTTTTTGTTAAGACTTGAACCCTAGAATCCTCAAGATAGTGAGTTCTTGAGACTCGTGCAGTTTTTTCGGTTGATTATGACTGTATAAATGGATAGAAATTATGTCATGCACCATAAGATGCAGAACATTTTTGGGACAAAGTTACTGAACATTTTATTCGTTTCCTGGTAAAAATGTTTGATGGGAGGATTTAATAATGTAACTGCAGGTCAAGGAATCAGCAAAGTTACTAATGCTTTTGTTGCACGAGCCTTCTAGCGCAGTTAAGCCAGATGAAATTGCCAGCTTCCTCTCCATTTCCCCAATTGAACCTCCTACAGTTTCTTCTAAGATTCATAGACTAGTAGATAGAAGAGCTGAAAGGATTAAGGGTGATAGCTTCGTGGATGAGCTTGGAGAAAATTTCTTGTGGGAGTGTCCTGAAAATTTACGCGAAAGGTTGACACAAATTGGTCTTGCGAGTAAAAGAAGAGGCTCTTCAATGGAGCTGGGATCAAACAGGCGTGGTAGGGGTGACCCTTCTTTCTCAGTTGCTGAGATTGCACCACCACTGCCACGGGTGTCCGTACCACCTGCCGTCATTTCCGGTCCCTCCCGACGTGACACCTTTCGGCAGCGAAAGCCTAACACCAGCAGACCTCCCTCCATGCACGTTGATGACTACGTTGCGAGGGAAAGAAATGCTGATGGGTCCTCAAATTCAAATGTCATTACGTTACCAAGGACAGGATCTTCCAGTGGACGACCACCATCTATTCACGTAGATGAATTCATTGCCCGTGAAAAGGGACGCCATATTAGCATGATGGTTCCACCACCTATCACTGAAGAGAAAGTGAGGCCGGTTCATAATAAACCGGATATGGAGAAATCGCCGATGTCTTGCCAGATAAAACCTGACCTAGATGATGATCTTCAGGGGATAGATATTGTTTTTGATGCAGAGGAGTCTCAAGAACCCGATGATGACGATAAGCTGCCCTTTCCTCACCCTGATGATCATCTTCAACATAATTCTACTCCTCGCTCAATTGTTGAAGAGACAACGAGTGAGGATACTAGACAGTCGTCTCGTGTGGTATCCAACACAGAGGAAAACACACAGGGCGAGTCCTCTTCACGGATTTCAGTTTCTCGTCCTGAGATGGGATTGACCCGGGAACAGAGTGTTTCTTCAGAGAGGAAGTTTACTGACCAGTCTGAGAAACCTAGGAGTTCCTCAGTTAAGACTTCCAGCAAGGTTTCTGTTGATTCTCCCTCACCAACCAAAATATTTTCGGTAACTGAGCTAAAACAAAATTCTGCGGCGGTTCCCCATGAATCTAATGGTCATAAATCAATACTGCCTCAGGCAAATTTACCTTCTATGCTACCTCTGGCAACTGCCTCACCTATAACTGTAAGTCAATCTTATCGAGCAAAATTCACATATTTAAGCACTTGAACTATGCCTGTAGGCCATGTTGGGCCCCTCTACTTGTAACATGGCAGGCTCTATTGAGCACGTTTGAGACATACTTAAGCCACAATAAACCGTTTTTTTAATTCTCATCTATTTTTTTGTTAGTGCATTACGCTGTTAGATATTTGGGTGCCACATGTGAATTCCATGCTGGAAACACCAGAAAACTCATGCCGAAACCAAATAGGCTTCATTTTATTGTGAGGGTTACTAGGGAGTCTGATACAAAAACACAAATCATGTCTGGTGTTCATTACAAAAACAAATACATACATGACAGTCAAATGGTTCCTGATCCCATCTACGAATAAGAGGTTAGGCTGATAAGATAAAAAAAGAACTCATTGTGGCTAAAGCCTGTCATCGTGCTCAATAGGTGCAGTTAGACCTTGGAAGTATAGGGGCTGGGGTTCAATAGGGCCAACAAACATAGTTCAATTGCTTATAGTGTGGTTTGGGATATGTTGCACAATAAAATAAAGTTATTATTGACTAATAGTCCAATACTACACTGAATCTTAAATGATTACATTTTGTTCTGTACTTAAAAAATATGCTCTCTTCTCCCTTTGCTGATTTTATCATTCTATCGCAGATGTATAGGTGTATAGCCTCAATGCCACCAGGCTTTCATTTAAATTAAGCATTGTCTTTTGTTCTTTGTTCACTAACGGCTCAGTACTTTTTGCTATGTGTTTTACGTTTTGCAGGTTCAACCAGACTACAAGTCTATGCGGACTGTTACTTCTGCTTCTCTGACTTCCAATCTTGTGCCTGATCCCAATTATTCTAGGACATCACTTTCTTCATCTACGCGACCATTCCCACCACTTCCACCTACACCGCCTCCTTTTGCAGTTAATTCCGCTACCTTTTCATCGTTAAAACCTTCCACTTCACAATGTACCATATACAATCAGAATGTCTTAGGTACAAATGAGGCTCAGCAGGCTGACCTTTCAACTCCAGGACCCTCACTAACACCATTCTCACCCCCTCCTTTAGTGTCTCATTTGATGTTCAGTAGACCTTATGGAAGTAATAACTCGGCCTCTCCACATCAGCATGCGGACAACTCTCACTCTATTAGTCAGTTGCATCCATTACAGGTCCCTCAGATGCCACGTCATCCTCCATCGCAGCATCTCAGACCATTCGTTCAGATGCAAATGCAGCAGCCGTTGCAGATGATGTTGCAGCAGCAACCCCAACACTCTCAAGCTCCTCCCCCTCCCCCTCCTATTTATTACAATAATTATACTCAACAACAACAGCAGAGTACTTCCCATTCATTACCACAACAGCAACAACAGCTTGATCATCTCCTGCCACAAGGTTCTCGTCAGCATGGCAATGGTGGGTCCCAGCAACAAGATAATGAGATGTCTTTACAAGATTTCTTTAAATCTCCAGAAGCTATTCAGGTAGTGACATGTTTAGTTACATGCAATTATTGGGGATTACATTTTGGATGAGGAATTTATTGTGATGTTTCTGTGATTAATTGTTGTAGTCTTTATTAAGTGACCGGGGTAAACTGTGCCAGCTGCTTGTGCAACATCCAAAATTGATGCAGATGCTTCAGGTTTGACCAACATCCAAACTCTCTCATCGTTATATACTCTTGATTTTTTCCTTTTGTTGTCATTTTGGACGCGATTTTCATTATGGGTCATCCGGAAACAGTCTCTCTGTGCTTTAGTACAGGGGTAAGACTGCGTACATCTGACCCCCCCTTTACCCCACCGTAGGTGGGAGCCTTTGCGGCTCTGGGGTAAATGATGATGATGATGATGTTGTTGTCATCCAACCCAGCTATGAGACAATCCTATATCAGCTATCAGTAGCACTTTACATATTCAGTCACATATTACTCCCTCCCATAAAAAGATTCATGTTTTAAAAGGTGTTTTTCACCAGAAAAAAACAGACATACTTCCTCAAATGAACATATTCTAGGTAAAAAATTACAAAAGGTTATATTAGATAAGTTAATTTGAACTGGCAAGTAAATATTGGAAAGAATGATAGGAATAATCCCCACCTATGAATCTATGACCTTTCTTCTCAATTCTCATTTTAATTCAATTACGTGCAACTCCAATATAATCTAAATCATAGGTATATCTTCTCAAAATCCAATTTAATCTAAATCAATTACATCAACCAATTGAGCAAAGTCATTAGGGCCATGGGCACGTTGTGATTGGCCTTATTCTTATTCTTTTTCACTTTTCTTTTTTTCGTTTGTTATCGTTTCTATCTCCGGAAATGTCTACTAGCTTCGTCATACCTCGTCGTGCCATGGAAGCCCCCATTGTTGCAGCAAGGTAATGGGGGGGGGGGGGTTGGAAATGGATTTTAACATTTTCTGCAGACGGGTGAATGTATTCAGATTTACTTCGGAAATTCGGGGAGGGGGGAGGTTCTGCAGAAGGTTATTGTTCTCCGCTTTTGCCGTTCGTCGGTTTCTGTCTGCCTCCATCTGGGCAACCTAGCTCTTTCTCGTATTTTCTAGAGCGAGTTCATATTTGTGACAATACAAGCTTCCATGTTTCTAACAAGTAATAAGTAATAATGAAATATATGTATACTATATGACTATTATCAAGCATGATATGTTCAATATCATATTCAAATATCACAAAAGTAAAACACCAAACCAGAAGCCATAACTTAAAGTTTTAAATATTAAAACTAAAATTGATATCATGCGATCTTTGGTAGCATGCCTGTCCCAAGCCAGGATAAAGGAGGGTGTTGTGGTAGGGGTGTGACGGTCAAACAGTATCACATTGTTCCAACATTCATAGCAACACTTGAAGTTTCACCGGCCTTATACTATGAAGTATAAACCATAGCCATAATTTTAAATATAAAACAACTTAGAAAAAGAAACAAAGATAAATTATTAAACACAAGCAAATGACAGAAAAAAGAGAATAAAAAATAGAGATATAGACTTTTTAATAAGGAAAGAAAATATAGAGAAAGTAAACAAAGAAATTAAAAGAACAAGATGAAGCAAAGAAACAAACATGGTGTAGACTCCTTAATACACCGACTGAGAAGGGTTTAGTAAGGTTTATGTTGTTTTCCCCTATTAGTTGGATAGGCCATATCTTATTTGTAATACGAGTATCTTTAAATTTTAAAATAGGCCCAAATCTTATTTTCAAAAAGGAAAATATGCTAAGAACCCTTTCCCAGTCCAAGCAATCAGGCGTGCACTTCTGCGCGTCTGTGCTTCTTGCACTTGCCCGACCCAAACAGTCTTGCCTGGAAGGTTATTAGGCGTTGTACGTATATAGTGCCTCAGCTGGTGTGCACTTAAGCGCCTAGGGGTGCGCTTTTGACTATACTGCTTACTCCAAATAGGAGCTCATAACTGTGTACCAGGGTATCAAAATTTCCAAAGGTTTTTGCATTAGTTCCATATCTAATACATGGAATCTTGAGCATAGGTTTATAAAACCATGCTGGTGGTTTTACCAAGTTTATGCAGGAGGCTTCATTCAATATCAATCTAACAAAATACAAATTTACGCTTAATAGGCGACTGAAGATGAAAATATATCTTGGAGTGTGATGATATTATGTGTGTGATGAGAACTGTGGGCTGCAGATGGGGGATCGGGGGTGGACAGAGTGGGTTCAAGCGCTATCACATGTAGATGATGGTGTTAAATTATTTGAGATTATCTGAGATTATTTGGGGAAGAAAAGTCTAGTCGAAATTATTATAGAGTTGTTTTTATTTGGATTTATTAAGGGGAGACTGGCGATAGATTTTTCATATATGATTTGCATAATATTAAGAATAGAATTATGATTCCTAATCTTTTACCTTGGAAAAGTTTAAAAGTTGTAAATTTACCACACAACTTTTTGGGACCTAGGTAATATAACCCATTATTTCATGCTACTGCATACTCCATTCCTTAATAGTTCAAGCAGTTAGTTTAAGTGTGCAACTGGTAGGGATAATGGATAATCATCATCATCACCCCGGTGCCGCAAAAGGCTCCTGCCTATAGTGTGGTAGGGGGGGTCGGATGTATGCAGTCTTACTCCTGTACTAAAGCACAGAGACTGTTTCCAGATGACCCAAAGCAAAATGGCTCACTGAATTGTGTGTGCTTTATTATTCCATCATATTCTCAAGCCAAAAAATAGTGAGTCTTTGGCTCCGTTGCAAGTGATAGAAAAGGTAGATGAAAAATAAATAAGTAAATGACTAAGTCGAAAAAGTAGGAAAGAGAAATGAAAAAGTTTGGTGGTATTTGCCGAAGATGGAAATGGGACAAGTATTGATAATCATCCTTAAAAGAAAATGAAGCTACTAAAAAAGAAATGGGTGTCATATAATTCATATATTCATCAAACTCATCAAGTCAAAGTGGCCACACAATCGTTATATCATTTCTATAATTCGTTATCCGCCAATCATTGGAGAGAAATGCTAGAGGTACACGTTTTGTGTACACGTTTGGTGTACACTTGTCTGTCCTTCACAGACAAATTGTCTGTGTCACAGACAATTTGTCTGTGACAAACAATTTGTCTGTGACAGACAGACAAGTGTACACCAAACGTGTACCTCTAGCATTTTTCATCATTGGATTGCTATCTTCGTGGGGTGTGCTAGATGCAAAAAAGGGAACAGAACAAGGGATTCAGGGTTTCCTCCGCCCCATCCCTCATTACTTGTGACCTTGTCCCTGCCCCATCACCTCCCCAGGTGTTCCACGGGTGACCATTAACAAAGCTAATACATAGTAATGATTAATAATGTCTACGTTGCATTTTCTTAATAAATAAGCTTTGTCAGGATAATAAAACAAAAGCATGAGAAATATTATTACATACAATACAATTAACCTTACATGTGTGTGTGTGTTTAGGGGGGGGGGGGGGTGATAAATATTATTTCTATTGGAACATGATATAGTTTTCAAGTAATTGTACTCGTGTGTACTTATACGGGGATTGGGCAAGAGAGTGGTATCCCATCACCTACCCATATCTAGGTGGGAAAGAAGGCTATCTCAAGAACCTGTCCAAGCGTCCCTGCTAGGTGGATGATCGCGGCTCACACCATACTTCCATCTATATGGCCAACTGATTCATTCATTATTGCATCAGCATCCCACATTTTGTTTGTTTTCAATTGCTTGGGTGCCTGTTTACGTAATTGCCCTATTGGCATGTAGATAGATAAACACTTTTTAATTCATCACTGGGAATGCTTTTTCATGTTTGAAATTATTTATATGCTGACATTTTTTATATTGTGTGGTTTTCTATTGTGCAGGACAGGTTAGGGCAATTATGACGATATCAAATCTGATTGGTGTTATATTTGCTTATATTTAAAAAAATGCTACAGCAGCAGCAGCCTGCAAGTTAGACCAAGGGCAAACATAAGTTGTGTACCATGATTGTTGTATTAGTATCATGTACATCAACTTATGTATCGTACTATTGTCTGAACTGATTGTAAATTTATATATGTAGAACTCAATGTAAGTTTATCATCGTCTCCACAAGCTAAACATCTCTCCAAGTTTTTTTGCTGGTTTGACACTTTGACCAGTCTAGGGATGGCAATGGGGTGGGTTTGGGGCGGGGTACACTCCCCCATCCCCCGCCCCATGTTTAAAAATTCCCCCCATCCCCCGTTACTCCCTGACCTGCCCCATCCCCACCCCGCCCCGTTGTTCCCCACGGGTGCCCCCATATAGATTTAATTTATCGTATTTGCCTATACTTTTAATCTTTTATTATAAATATATGTAGTGCGATTCCAATGAGAACGATGCTTAACGTGAGAACACTCATTTTAATCCAATACACAAAAATCCAATGTGATACACAATAGAGCCATTCTAGTGACTTTACTCAATACAAGCTAATATAAATAATTATGTTGACACTTTTGTAAATATTATGCTAGATACGAAAAAGTTCATTGTGCGAGTCCATTGTGCTTCACATTTGGGGTAAATGTGGTGTTTGCACGTTCTCATGTTAAGTGTTATTCTCATTTGATCCTAAGCCTATATATATCTATGCGCACATAGTAATATATGATACACACGCAACATTGAAGTATTGTGTTTGTTAAAAGTTAATACCGCCAATTTTAATAATTCTTCAATTTGAATAAGTTTTGTGAATTGAAGACAATTAAAGTAAAAAATAAGTAAACATATTATCACCATGTACATTGTTTCAAAATTCTCAACAATTATAATTATAATACAATTAATTACACATTATATTGCATATAAATATGTGTGTTTATTTACTCACTTTCCCACTCTTAAAAATCCTATAACATTTATGACAAATGCTTTTAATCATTACTAGCTTATTATTATTCTAGTATATAATATGTGTATTAATTCATTAACCATGATTAAACTGTATACAATTATGTATGTTTATATGTATATGCGTTTGTTATATACTACATATGATTTAATTTAATGAGTGTACATTATTTATATATGTGTATATATATGCTTGAGTTATTGAGTATATATTTATAATGGGGACGAGGCTAGAGCTGGACTCGGGCTGGCGGTTCTGGAATGGTGGGCCCAGGCCTTTTTTTCTCCATTTTGTTGTTAACCCCCCCCCCCCCCCCCTCACCCCCAAACCACCCCAAATGGCCCAAAATACCCAGCCCAACTCGAAAAGTAAAAAAAAAAATTGAAAAAAAAAATAAAAATGCCCGAAACCGTTCCCGAACCGGCCGGGCCGGTTCAAGATTTGGGGGACCTAAGCCCGGACCCGAACCCCCGCGGGTCGGGCCTACCCGGACCGGTCACTGACCGGGCCACTAGGCCGAGACGAAACAGTGCTGGTTCGGGCCGATTCCGGGTCGGGCCACCCGGCCCGAGTTCAGGCCTAGATGGGGCGAGGACGGGGCGGGTGTAGCAATACTCATCTCCCGTCCCATATTTTAACGGCGTAAAAGTATCTCACCCATCCCTGTCCCCACCCTGCCCCAAGCCCCTCCCCATCCTGTCCCTGCGGGGCGGATTCCCACGGGTCCCTGCCCCCATTGCCATCCTTAGACCAGTCAGACACGGACAATGTGGTCTAGCCCGGTTTGCGTCCTGGACCGGCTCGCCATAAAAAATTAACCGGGCCTGAAACCCATATTTTCAGTTCCGGCTCTCCACCTGTCATGATGTCCATGTATGGTCCCATTTTTAATTCTTTATACATGTTTCCAAACCTTCCATTGTTCCATACAATGCCCCACCTCCCTCCCATCTCTTCAGCTTTTAAATGGATTACACTAGTCTTGGACTCGGTTCAGGCCACCCAACCCGGGAACCGGCCCGGCCCGCTACTGTGCGGGATCGGCCCGGTGCTTCGGGCCCGAAACCGGTTTTTGACCCGGACCGTAGGGAGTAGCGGGGGCGGGCTCGGGCTATAGAAATGACGACCCGGCCCGGGCTTGGTTCGGGCCATTTTTTTGTTTTTCAGTTTTTTTGTTCCCCCCCCGGGTTGATTGTTTTGGGGGGTGGGGCCCATTGGGGGGTGAGGGCCTGAGGGGGGTAGTTAGGAAAGCAAAAAATACTCCCTCCGTCTCCTTTTAAATGTCCCGGAAGAGAGTGTCACGAGTTTTAAGAAAAATGGGTTGTGTGGTTGATATTTATTGATTAAGTAAGAATAAAGTAAGAATGATTTTGAGCCACACAAACTTTACCAAATAAGGTATGAGACAATTAAATAGGGACATTCCAATATTGTAAAACGGGACATTTAAAAGGGGGTGGAGGGGGTATATATTATAAACCGGCCTGAGGCCCAGCCCGAACCGGACTCTGTGGAAACCCAGGTTGGTCCCGAGCCTTCCCCCCACCCATAAAAAGCCCGGCGGGCTTGGGCCTGACCCGGACCCGACCCGGCCTGAGGCCACGCCTAGATTACACCCCTTGAAAAATGCTTCCTAATATCTATAATGTGAAAAGGAGACTGTACGTTGGCCGACTAGTACATTAATTTTGTTCTGATCCTAGTCATGTTCCTGTTTCAGAATTCAGAATAGGCCTTTGTGGATGGCAAATTATACCGTGGTACCGGTATACCATGCTCATGGTATATCTGTACCACATACGACACCGTTTTTGCAAGACAACTACTCCCCAAAGTCACGCGCAATCTTTTGACCGCATGTTTGAGTGTTTGACTGCTTCTTTCTTCGGTGGCACATTTTCTTTTTGAAAGCTCCGTTGCACAATTTAAAAAAATGTAAAATTTAAAACTACTCACCATCAATTCTCTCAGCTCTAATAAAAAACTAAAAATATGCCAATTTCTCACTTTATTAAAGTTATCAATTCCAATCGGCTGCACACAAAATATTCAACCGACTAAAATTTGAAAATATAGATTTATAGTTACAGCCTAAACAGAAAACTATTAACTAATTAAATTACAATTGCATTAATTTTTCTCATTACTAATTTATTACAAAATTTTATTAATCCACATTAATTAAGTATATTGTGTTTCATAATCATATATTATTTTTCACTTTTTTTCTTCGACTAAAATTACTACGAAATTTATTTTATGTGTAATAGTTTTTTACATTTATACACTTTTTTTTGTATCCATATGCCTGATCTCTTTTATATGTTTTTAGTTTTTTAAAGCATTAAGTATACGAAGTTACATCTTATTGTACGCAGGTTACATCTTAATATACGCGATTTACATCTAAATGTATGCGAGTTATATTACATAATAAACCCCTCCTATATCATTTTTATAGCCCTAATAATAAAAATAAAACATATCCACTATTCAAAAAAGTAATTGGGCTATTAGAATCAATTTTTCATTGTCTACATTGAAACCAATGTTTATAATACACACACATATTATTCTCAAACACAAAAAAAACATTGTTCTATTTTCCAACAAGTTACATTCTGTATACACCCAAGTTACATTTGCCATCAACGCGAGTTACATTTGTAATACCACGAGTTACATTAAAAAATCAAACCTTGTGTTGGGTTAAGGGCCCAAGCCGAAGTCCGGCCCACTAACCCATATCGCCAGACGCACGTCCAGTTAGAACACCAGGCCAGCCCACAGGCCCATGTCCCTTGGGGATGGACGAACGTCTGGTATTGGGGGCTCAGGCTCGGCAGGCTCATCCCAACGAACGTCTCCGGGACAAGCCTGTAGTCATCGGAGGGAACCCAGTCCACATGGTGAATATCTATAAGGCCAGGAGACGAACAGCCGATATCTTTCGAGGGTCACTTGGAGCAATCCAACTCACTTCCCGGGAGGACGAACGTCCCCACTAATCAGGCGGGAAACCTAGATTCTGGCGGGAAGAGCATTTAATGCTGAAGATTTGGTAGTTGGGACACCAGCGGTCCACAGGCTGCCACGTCAGTACAGCTACCTGCCCATTGGTGGGTATAAATAGAAGCATTTATTTCATTGTAAAGGGTTGGCAACTTTCTATTCTTAGCACCCTAGCTATAGCATTCTTACTCGCAGCACTTCTACTGCCTTGTAAGACGAACGGCCGACGTGTCTTTTTTAGCAAGTAGATTGTACTTAGGGGAGTTATTACGAAGTTAATAATACCTACTTACATTGCCTGCTATTATTTTTGTTTCCTGATCCATCTGAAGGTTGTTGGGCTAGATATTTTTACACCTACTCCACTCGAAATCTTTGGGCTTACGTGTTGGGCCTGAAGGTTGAAGGAATAAACCTCAACACTGGCGCCGTCTGTGGGAACCTGAGCAAAAAGTTTCCAGAAACTCTCCCCAAAACAGCTACTAAATCTACCTACAGCAACGCGATGTCAGGAAGCAACAACCAGCGTGATCTCTCCGAGCGTCTGGAATCAAGCCGCCGGAATCGCGGCCAGAACTCGGAACTATCCGCAACAATATGGACCTCTGGAGGAAACGGGGGTATCACTGACCTCATTCCCCTGGAGGCCAGACAGGATCCCCGCCTCATGCGGGAACTCGCAGACACCATGCGTCGCTTGGCGGACGAGCGGGAGGCCCGAGATCAGGTGTACTCTGCAAGCACCCAGCGAACACCCCTCTCTCCCATACGCCGCATGCAGTCGTATGATGATACGACGGGATCCAGCGACCACCGGCCCTCTGTCCACGAGCGGCTAGGTGGGGGTTCAGGCTCCCGTGAAACGGGAGGGCGGACTAGGGTCAGCATCGCTGCATCCAGAGCTCTTACGCCATCGGTTCCTCGCCAGATCCCGCGGGGAGACGAAACCCCAAGGTTCAACACCGTTGGACGATGTTTCCAACGGCGAGGTGCGCAGATCTTCAGGCGGCCGCACGATGCTGTGGCCGCTCAGCAAAATGCCGTCCCCGAGACCGCGCCCCCTGTGTCCCCCGGAAAGGCCGCACAGGATGCAAGGTTGGAGGCCATGGAAAGGCAGATAGCCGAGATGAATAGGCGGGCGGACGTTGGCTCGGCCACACCCTCTTTCTCTCTCACATCTCCCTTTACTCCACGGGTGATGAGCGTCGAGATTCCCCGGGATTGCAGA